CAACCTTTTTTGTTGGGTTGGAGAGAGTGGCCCCAGGTGGAAGAATGTGGCTGCTATATATACATTGAGCATTTATAGAGGCGACTGGTGATTTAGCCACCCCTACAAATGGACATAGCAGGTATTTGGTAATAGCCGCCTCTACATACCAGTCGTCCATACAAATCGACATATTTGTAGGGACGGCTCATATTACCAGCTGCCCCTACTGTGCCATTTGTAGGGATGGCTGCTGTGCTGAAACCCAAGCACACCACTTTAGGGGTTGCTCTATTGCTAGCCGTTCCTAAAAAAAAAGCTTCATTACTACAAACCATTTTTCACATAGTGAATCAAAGTTATCAATCTTCAGTGAAAGATTGGACCACCAATCTCCACCAAAAGATGGGACCATCCATAACCTCATCATAACATAGCATTAGTTCTGCTTTAAACACTATGTAAGGCTATATAAGAGTCGACAACCAAAAATGAATAAACCTATATGCAGACTAGTACATGCAGTACCCTAAACAGCGAAGTTGGATTTCTGTCATGGTCTGGTTTATGCGATTTGTGAATCAAAACCAACCCAATCCATAAGCAACATTAGTCTCGTGGTTTGGAACCCGCAGGTTGCACGGGTTAATTAGGCAGCGCGACACGCTAGTACGCTACGGCCATAAGCTCCACCGCTCCAGTCCCCTACCTCGATGCCAGGCTACGCACACGCGCGCCATCTGCCTCTCCGGCCATGCCGGCATCGTGGTGCCCGACGCCTGCGGGAGGTGCCGCAGAGTGCTAATGGCTGCAAGTCTTGCTCCAACTGCTCTGCGAGTTTGTCCAGTTCAAGTGCGTTTGGACGTGCGGATCGGTTCCATTTCTCACATGAAACACCAGAATCTGCACCAAACTTTTTTTGTCGATTTGTTTCTGAGCAGAAACGGATGGAACCGTCCCGTGATTTTTGCCTAAGCTCTCCTCTGCACTAAAACGCTTGTATTTTTTCAATTAATTATTTTAAAGTGCAAAGAAATAAAACGAGTTGTATTTAAGTTTTCGTACACCCCAAAAAAGTTGTAACCTTTTTGAAGCATATTTCTATCTATATTTTTTTAACGTGGATCGAAATCCAGTCTAACGACCAAACGGTTTTACAAAGTGATTCTGATTCATCATTTGAAACGTTTCTAGAGAGAATCTGCGAAACGTTCCTACGAGAATTCAGAGCTCTTACCAATCGCATCCTTCGATCTCACACGCTGCCATCCGCAGCGGTGCCATGCTATTGCGGCAAACGGCCATGTCGAACACTCGGCGTTGCGCTTGAACATGCCCTGTCGCACCCCGCTGACGGCGAGGCAGCGGTCAACAGGTCAACAGCCGCACCACGTGGTTCAGGGCGGCCCAGGCATCCGCGGCTGCAGCGTCGCTGCTGTTGCCAGGCCACTTGCCGCAGGCCGCGGAGCCCTCCACCTGGCTGTGCTCGCCGGTTTCGAGATCCTTGACCCCAACCAGCACCTCCTCCACAACCTCGCCACTATGTGCGGCAAGCTCCATGTCAAAGACAATGGCGTGTTTGGATTGTGACTGGCAGGCAGATTCTCGTCCAGGCACGATCGTGACCCTAGGCGGACGAAATCCTACGCCTGGGATTGCTTGCCTAGCCAGGCGTTGGGAGGCTTGAATCCAAACAAGCTGTTAAGGGTTAGATGGTCGCGAACCGTATCCGCACCAACCCGGTTCGGATTACAACCGGGCCATGTAGAGGGCTAATTTCTGCTGTGTTCGTCCCATGCAATTCAGCATATGCCAAGGGCGGTCCGGACAAGCGACAAGGAACGCAGTGCACTATCGTAATTCATGAGATCTTAAGCTTTACGACCTGGTGCCAGAAGGGAAGCGCCTCCGATCTACGACCCTGGGCCAGGTCCGGCGGAAATTAACAGATGATTGAGATTTCACGCCGTGCGTAACATCGCCTGCCACATCACGTTATGAGCATGCTATCGCTATCTAGCCATGAAAACACGAGGGCGTGGCGGTAAACAACGGCCAGCACGCAGATTAGAAATACTATTACCCATTGCAAATAAGACCGTTTCTGTGTTTTGACATAACCTTGGGATTACAGCAGATCCTGAACGGCGGAACAAAACAGCGGCCGCTCCTTTGATTCAACCGCGGCCTCTAGAAGTCCAGATGCATGGCGCTCGGTGCAGGGCATACACTTGGGCCGCCCACAAAGCAGAGATGACCACCTTTCAAGGCCCCACCAAAATGTAACTAATGGAACATGCTTCTCCAGACATACGCTGCTAGCTACACATCTTCAACACAAAACGAAGTTGCTGCGAAGGTAGATATACGTGTCAGTGAACAGCAGAAAGAATGTTGAAAAAGGGGAAAGGACAATCCCTGATTTATCATATAGGAGTACCTCTGTCCTAAATTATTGGTCGTTTTGGCTTTTCTAGATACAATAGCTTTTGCTATGCATCCAGATATACAGCATGTCTAGATACGTAATAAAAGTTGTATATCAAGAAAAGCCAAAACGACATGTAAATTGGAAACAGAGGGAGTACGAGGTTGCTTACCCTTTTTAGACTTTCTGCACTTTAGTAGTAGTAAGCTCCTTCGGCTTACCACCTTTTACACAATCCACTTCCTGCAATGAAGTACAAAGGGCATCAAAAATCCCTATGCTCAGGGTAATTGGTAAGTAATTTTTCAAAACAGACAATTAAGTACTATGGGCCACGTCCTAGGCACTACTCCGCCACCTGACTAGTTCCCAACACATTCTAAGATGCCTATAATGAACCAGGAAATAAGAATACTTCTTTAATATTGCTCATGATACCTCAGGTGATGGTAAAGAACACTTTCATTATCAGATTCTGCAGTTGGAACGAAAGCTCACGTGAAACATCAGCTTAATTGTTGTGTTGAAACAAATTTAAGTAAACAAATAGGTAGATACCACGAAAGTTAAAAGGGCAACTGATTTAGTGAGCTCATCAGTCATCACTATTCTCTAGGTGAAAGCTTAATCCCAATAAATATTGCATATGAATGTGTAAGCTAATTGTGTTTATGCTACAGTACCATGTGATGTAGAAATAGGCAATAGCACATGCACATACAACAAATGGGCGTACCCAGTGCAGAGAGCTTCCGCTCTGTGCGGGATCTAGGGAAGGGTGTCAGTGGCAAGCCTTATCCTCGCCTGTGCAATGCGAGGAGACCACAACTCGAACCCGGAACCTTCCGGTCACAGGTGGTAAGACACTACCGCTTGCACCAGGCCCGCCCTTCCACATACAACAAATGGAATCTATATAATATTAATATAACCAAGCTGGATGCTGATGTTATTTTAAATCAATGAAACAGGGAAAACACAAATTAAATTTATGCCATACCAGCTTAACAGCAAAACTCAAGTGGTATTTTTTTTCTCGAAAACGCAAGAGAGCTGTGTTTTCTTTTCATTAAGAAGAAAAGGGTAGAGAGCCCTTAAAGACACACACCAACCCAAAAAGCAGATTTGAGTTGCATGCTACAATTGTTGAATCTCAAGGATTCTGCCATTTTTCTAAAGGCTATAACAATATAAAATAAGAATGTTATATTGATGTTGTAACATCATTCCATTAGATGTTCCCTACAATTAGTACATGTCATCCAGAAGTCAAATATAAAAGATATTAAGCTCTCAAATATCCTATTGTTTAAAAAATATTGTTTTGCTTTGAATTTCCAAGCAATAAAGTGCCAAAGAGAGATGAAACCATGCAAGTACAATGCCAAAGATGTCATGCAATAACGCAAATATAATATACAAGAGCAGCCCAATTCAAATGTATTAGGATTCTATGAGGTGGTGACATAAACTAACTACCACTTAGTGCTGTCATTATATCATTCGCCCATTGAATCACCACTACGAGAACTCTTGGATAAATCAAGAGAACACTGCATACTGTAAAAAGCTTGGTTTGCTAGATAAAGTGCTATCAATATTTCCAAATCCAAATATACTATGCATCAGTAGTGAACTGAGATGTTAATGGTAGAACCAAAAGAAGGTATGGAATAGAAGTGGGTGGAGCACAAAGTCAATATAAATGTTAAATAGAGTCAAGCTGGATCCCAGTTTATAACTGGTTCAATCACTGATACAGACTCAGCTGATAGAACTAGAACATCCAGGTAGATTAAGTGAATCCACTCGCACACAGTTCAAGTTTGCATTAGTACTCAAGGAAAATGCCTACTGAAAATTGTACCACATGTTTGTTCCAGTTTATATTTTCAGCACCACAAAATTTTCTGCAGAACACATCAATTGTAGCACATATTTATTCCAATTTGGGTGTAAGCTACTCAATTTACATATTTTCTGCATCACAACGACTCCCAAATTCCTTCATTGAAAATTTAGTAGCAGACATGCTAAAAGGGTATAAAAAAAACTACAATACTAACACGAGTGCCCTTGGTGCTTCCAAGAAAACAAACAGCAATATGTCAAAGAAAACTTTGTTCTACCCAAGAGTTCATCTGTGTGTCGAGACGAAAATGAACAAAAACAGCCAGTGCACCAAAGCTAAAACCAGGGGGGCAAACTTTTTTTTAACTAATCCCACAACATTTTGGATGCCTCAAAGTGTGCTACTCCAGACAATGACAGTCCTAGTGCATATTTTGTAGCCCAACACAATGTACCATCATTCTTGCAGTTGCTAAAATAAGGGTGATTAGGCATCTATTCTTGTCTTGTGTTTTAGGGCCATCTCTGGTTCGAACTTTACAGATACTGCAAGATAGGGATTGACTTGAGCTTTTTTGAACAGGCAGCACCACCACCACTACCATTTAGACATCCTTTGCATATATTCCCCAATACAAAAGCCTTTGCGGGACCAGGCAAGGCAACACCTAACACACACACTCCAAGACCCTCTCAGCATCTTACCAGGCCATCTAATAGAATGGCCATAACACCCCGCATCTTACCAACCAACATCCACCGCCACACAAACATCAAATGCTCCATCGACCTCCAGATACAGATCCAGATCAGAGTACCGATAGCGGAGACGAAACGACACGGATCGAACGCGATTCCCCCTAATTACACGGTCATTCAGCAAAGTTGAAGAGGAGCGAAGTCGAAGAGCACTCACCTTGCCTGTGGCCTCGTAGTAGTCGTTGAGCGCCCATTGGTACTTGGACTGATCCAACCCGAACCAGGTAGCCACGTACTCGTCGAGGCTCGCGTGCGCTGCGACGAGAACAGAGAGAGAATCCAAGCATGAGAACCCCCCAAATCTCTGGACAAAAATCCACCAAAATCACGAAATGCGGTTCGCTCACCTTCCTGGACGCGCGCGACGGCGTCCCAGAAGAAGCCGAACGCCGATCCGTCGTGCTTGCCCCCCACGGACGCCTTCTCGTACTGCGGCGGCGGCAACTGGACCGGCGGCGGCGCGACCTTCACAGGAGCCGGCGGCGGGGGCGGGGTGAACACCACCGCAGGCGCCGCGACCGGGCTCTCGTGGTTCCGCGGCGAGGGGGAAGGGGAGGGCGACGGGGCTGCCCTCTGCGGGGTGGGTGTGGAGAAATCCGAGCGCTGGGACTCGGGCGGCGGCGTGCGCGAGGCGCCCCGGGGCGTGCTAGCGGGAGACGGCGGCGTGATGAAGACGGTGAGATTCCCGGCCCGCCCGATCATGGGCGGTGGCGGCGGCGACGGCGAGGACGAGGACCCCATCACCTCAGCTGGGGCAGGAGATAGGACTGGTGCCGGCGGAGCGGCGCTGCGGGAGCGCGGCGTCTAGTTGCCTAGGGAGGAAAGCGAGAAGGACAGGGGGGCGCTCGTGGGAAAAGCCCCAGACGCCATTGCAGACAAGGCAGTGGACCTTTTGTTTGCTTCCTAAATTTCCACCTTTTCTATTTTGCCCTTCAAGTTTAAATAACGCAACTTTTGGCGCTGGCCCAGGATGGTGCGTGCACCGCGACTTCCAAGGCCTCGTTGAGACCCCTTCGGTTGGTCCCAGTGTCAGAGGTTCATAGCTCGTGGACCCAACATGCACCGCGACTTCCAAGGCCTCGTTGAGACCCCTTCTTTTTTTTTCCTTCTCAAAATCAAAATAACGTGCCCTTTTCGCGTTGGCTTCGCCTCTGCGCGCGCCTGCACGACGTCTATGAACGTCGGGTTACGGCCTTACGGGAGCGTCAGGTGTGGGGCCACGCGGCAGTGACGAAGGTTGTGGCGGGCTCGGATGTGGTATGAGAAGACTGGGTGTATGGGGACGTGGTGAGGTGCGAACGGTAAAGGGTCTTTGTCCTTGCATCCCCACTGTGCGCGGGGATCTAATGTAGCGACGAAGGGCGTGGGGCAAGGGAGGTTACGGTTTTGCCCCTGGGTTTTGGTTGGATTAGCAGTGTGATGGCATTGTAGATTTGTAGTCGATCACTCTAGGGCTAGGCACCATGGATTAGGCAGTACGCGTCTAGAGCCATGTTTTAAATAATGGGCTAACCCTCTTAGCGGCAGCCTCTCCAAAAGGCTAAGAAAGGCTATAGCGAGCTAAATAGCGGGCTAAGCCATTTAGCGGCTGAGCAAAAAATATGTCAAACATCATATAATTTTACACATAATAAAGATATAGAAGATGAAAACATTACAAATACCAATAGGGACAGATAGTTCAAAGTCTTACTAACACATTACATTAAAGTTCATAGTTCATAAATGATACATCATACATCACATAGGGACATAGATGAGTTCAAAGTTCATACAAAGGTGATAGACAGTTAGACAGCGGAATTAGCGCAATATTAGCAGCTAAATGGAAGCCCAGGCCAAATAGCGGCGCTAAATGAACCACAATTTAGCGGAATTAGCGCGCTATTAGCAGCTAATAGCGGGAAAAATCGTTTAGCGTTAAAATCCTGGTAGCTTAGCGTTGGTCTTCCAGATCCACTAAATAGCGCTATAGCGCGCTATTTAAAACTTTGGTCTAGAGTCAATATCCAAGCGTTAAATCGTGCATCAGGTAGTAAAGTCAACATATAAACATGCATATTTTAGATCATATATCAATTTTGTTGAAAAATACAAGGCCCTAGAGCCTGGTTGAGAGTTAAAAAAATTTGTTGAAAAATCAAATTCTTTCTACTCAAGATCTGGACATTACATGGTTGTTTATACTGGTATCCCTTTTAGGTTTCGTGCCATTCCTTTTTAAGGACCTTGTTATGTTAGTGTGCTCTTGCATGGTTGCTTGTTTTATTATTATGACCTTGTATAATTTGGATTTTTGTAACGACCGTAGCTTTAGCAAATCTCAGGGCGAGAATTCTATAGGGGTAGTTTGGCACACCCCAAAATTTCTATTTTTTATGTAAATAGTTTACACTAAATGAAATAAATCGGTTCATAATTTTTTTCTAAAATTTTCCAAGATTCGATTAAGTTGTGACAATTTAAATGGTTGAAAATATTTTTTAGAAAAATCATTTTATAATTTAATTTGATATTTTTTGTTGCATTCATGCATTTGCTTTAATTTTATGATGTTGAAAATGAATTTACAAATTTTGTTTTAATTCAAATAGATTTTTCTCTACTTTTAAATATTAAAAAAAACAAACAAGTTTAAACTTAAATGTTTGCAAAAATAATTTATTAAAAAAACATAGTTTATTTGTGCCAAAACATTTTCAAAAGAGTTTGACAAAATTTACAAAAATTATAATTTATAATTATAATTTAGACATATATTAATTGAGCTAATATGGTTTTATATGCATTATATTTGTATATTATTGTTGGCTATACGACAGAGATGCTTATGTGTTGTATTTCTACCATGGAGGAGCGAGTTGAAAAACATGTTATAAGTTACAAAGTAAAAACATAGAATGATGATCTATAGAATCAATTTCCATCTTTCACCCTACGAATTTCAAATAGACTTATATATGAACTTTGGAAAGTGGTGGAATGTCAAATTCCAAGCCAAATAGCCTAATTTATTAGTAGATTTCAATTCTTCCAAATGAAAGGATCCAAACGGCCCCTAAAATTTATAATCTCTTAAAAAGCCCATTTGCTATTTTCTCTAATAGGGTTTAATGTTTATTTAGGCCCATTAGTGAAGGTGAAAGGTGCAACATCAATTAGTACCATATTACTCGTTGATAATCTTATGCAAATCAACTTGTTCAAGCCAAAGAGAAGGAAGCTCATAGAAACAATCTAAGAAGACCTCAAGTGATCATCTCCATCAAGTGTGGTGTCTTCCCAAGATTCCAAGTGGTGTCAACCTCGACATTTCAAGTATATATATCAAGTGGTGTCATATTTTGTGAAAATTGATGATAAATGGGGAGAGATTGGCACAAAACATGGAAAGGGGGAGAAGTTGGCTGGACAAAGATACCAAGATGGAGGAGATAAAAGAGCAAGATTGAAGAATAAAAGGGGATCAAAACTTGAAAAAGCACATAAGTAGAGGGAGAAAGCACATGAACACTTGGTTGCTGCATTTGTGTTTGTGCAACTCAAATAATTGCTTGCATTTGCATCATAGCATAGTTGTTTCCAAGTGGTTTCTGTGGTATCTCTTGCCTATGTGTGTGTTGGTTGCTAGACATAGACTTGATTGTTGCTTGAGCCTAGCTCTATAAGTCAGTTAGCTTCAAGTGGTAGCAAGAGCTTAAGTAGTTTTCAATTGGCATCTAGAAACTTGCCTATAATATTAATCTCATGGAGTTTTCTAGTGTTTTTATTGTCTAGCTAATGAGGGTACTAAGGATGAAGATCTACAAGTGGTATACACGCTACAAAGGTTTAATTCTATATACCTCAGCATCACAATGTCCGTCTAGCAAGAGGAAACCTTTGCACTTAGTAGTGGTAATTCTCCCATGACTCCAATCTAGCATATGTGAAAGCTTGAAACCAAACCACTCTAGCACATATGTAGGGGGACTAACACTACCAAGTTGGATCTTATGAAACTTATCCAATCCTTCCCAAGTGGTTCATGCTGGATAAGCAACATAAGGTCCCAACCAAGTTAGAAATTTACACTTGTGTGAGGTGCTGGCTTGGATTTTTAACTTAATTCCTATCTTTGTGTGGTTGTCATCAATTAACAAAAATAGGGAGATTGAAAGCCCTAAGTTTGATTTTTGTAATTGAGTGACAACTAGTGAACTAATTCATTCAATAAGTTGTGTTTGGGCTAGCTCCACATGTGGAGTGGTGAGCAAGGTGAGGAGATGGTTGTGGCGATGATTAAGCCATATGGAGCAAAACTCACACATGAAGAAGGAGAAGGAGATGAAAACAACCTTGAAGGCTAAGGTATATGCTAGGTGTTTTTATTTCATCCAACAAGATGCAATAGAGTGCATGGTCAGGTTTAGGATATATAGTTATACTGTTAAGAGGGGTATTCTAAAGCAAAATAGTTATCTCGTGCCACTAGGTTTAAACTAACTTTTCATATGCATTTAAAAGCACTGAGATGTTGCCTAAAGGGGCTGAATAGGCAATCCTAAAAATATAAAATTTCTAGTAGATACTAGGCTTGGAATTTTCGATCAAGCTCAGAGTTTCTGAACCTTCCAAGGTCAGAAAATATGATCTAGGTCATCGGAAATTCTGACCCGAGTAACATGAAATCTCAAATCAACAAAGATTATGCCTCTATAATCGATTCTACTTGTTACCAAAGGTTGCTAGACATGTAGTGAGTTGATTCCTTATAAAACCTACAACCAAAAACACAAGAACAAGTAGATCGAGTTGAATCACCTAAAAGAAAATCTTGAACAACAAGAACAAGCAAATGATATTCTTGATTTGTTTACCGAAGTTTGGGCCTCCACATGAGCCATACGTCTCCGTTGAGGAAGCCATGAGTGATCACTCTATAAGTGTATCAAATCCTATTTGTGGGTTTTGGTGAATAGATGATGATAAATATAAAGAGCTAATGATGTTTCATGAGATTTTCAGTTAAATATCAGTGTGAAAAGTGCAATTGAAACATGTGACCCCTCAATTATTACTTTAAAGAAAGATGTGGCGTCACGCTTCAATTTGAGAGAAGTTTGGCCTTAATTTCAATTTCTTTTTAACTTCTCTTGAGTTATAGGATGTCGTACTATAAAGAGGGATCGAATTTATATTACCTGTAGGTGTCCTAAGTGCTCAAAAGATCTATTATAATTTCTCTAGACACCTTCCAACAATCATCATTGACTTATTTTTGGTCCAACCTTGAAAATTCTTCTCCACCAAAAATTCCTTTTCCTTCAACAAGAATTTTTAGAAGCCTACTCCTTTGAAATTTCTTGCTCAACCTCCTTAAATTTCCAGAGCACCCCTCTCTGTTGAAAACTACAAATTAACTGGAATTTTTATTCCTGCCGAGCAAGAAATTCTAGTGCGAAGTCTTCCTGGTTGCTATGGTCTGATTGAACACCCTGCCCTAGAAATTCTAGATGGCAACGCCAAGAAATTCTAGTGCGGGAGACAACCTTCCCAATAGTCCGATCGACCAAGGCTGGGCATTTGAGTAGGTGTTGATATTTATTAACGTGTCACTTATTTTAAGTAGCCACCTATTATAAACCTATATCTCCAAACATTGATTTACTAGGTTGTTATCTCTAGTTATGATGGCAGAGATGCTTGTTGGTACTACTAGAATAATACTAAGTAGTTCTTTATTATTTTATGTGACTAGA